AAAATGGTGGTTTTCCATAGCTACCTTGAGGCTCGGGAGCCGAAGGTACCAACTTCGGAACATCATCCCATCGTAAGTGGTGACAATAAGCCTAGTTAGTAAGTTCTTGATTTGTGGGATGATTCATTATTATTTCGTTTGGAAATGGGATTTGCCATGGGATATACCCTCTGGTTATTTAACATAGCCATGGAAAATCACCATTTTTAAGAGGTAAACCATCTATAAATGGGCCATGTTCCATGGCTATGTTAAATAACCAGAGGGTATATCCCAGTTACCACTATCCGTGGCATGATCATCAAAGTAGGGCATGGGGGAATGAGATCTGAGACGATTGTGAAGATAGTTATGGATTAGATTATTCCCCATTCCCTACGTGTAGCACCAGTGTTTTTCGGCGCTAGAAATCAGTCAATTTGACTGCTGCTAGTGCCATCACTGGGATGTGCATCCCAGCTGTCATTTGGAACCTAATATGACCCATATCTAAGCCAATACGTAAGCCATGTAGCACCCATAAATAATCCATATATCATATATTACTCTTATATCACTGGGGATATTCATCGATATTCCACATATATATATATACATATATATATATATATATGGAGCTGGTTATATGTAGTCTTGACACACCAAAACAATTCCTGGGCAACGGTAAAAACCAGCAACGTCATTCCATGTATGTATGTAATCCTGGTTGGCTGATAGGGATTTCCAGTTCATGGATTATGAAAATCCCCAATTAAGATTGGGTAGTATAATCCCTCAGCTAAATCATAAATTATGAAAATCCCCAATTAAGATTGGGTAGTATAATCCCTCAGCTAATCATCAACCAAACACGCTTACTATCAGTGATGAATATGATCAATAATAATTGCGCCCATACTTTACTGCTTAAACTCCTATAAATATCTAGTGGTTAAGGCAAAATCATGCAAAAGCCCCATGATGACCAACCAAGCAACCACTTACCAATCATTTACCAACCATTTACCACAGTTGATCCCCATATTTTGCTAGCAATATTTTGCAAACAAACAAAATGACAGACAAAACTGAAATGACAAAAAAAAAATGCCGACAACAAAAAATGACAGAAAAATGACAACTAATTAATACAATTCAACCATTTCCAGGGTACGGCTGTGAGTTTCTTTGGTGATCTGAAGCCAGGTTTCCCCACTGTGTCATGGCCTCATCCACGGTGGCATCCTCACAGACCACGAAGGGATCCTTCCCTGGCGGAGGATCATCCCCTCTGAAAAATCATGGACTTCGGAAGTCAGTTGGGATGATGAAATTCCTACTATGATGGGAAAGTCATAAAAGCCATGTTCCAGTCACCACCAACCAGATAATGGGATGATCCAGGGTAAAATTATAATGTAAATTATGATAGTTTATATGATAATTTAAGCCATGAATAAAGTTTATAAATGTTAATTGTCCAGATTATGTCTATAACATTATAAGTTATAAAGTATAACCCATTCATAAATGAAACATCATGAAATCATTTAAAAAAAAAAAGGTGACTTACTGACTACAGTAGGCTTATCTGATCACAAACACGGTCGGACCCTGGGACGATCCTCGTAGGATACGATGCCTGGGGTGACTGCTTTCCAAGGCTTGGGAAGTGGCGCTCGGAACTTCGAAGCCATATCCTCTGGTAAACAAACAGTATATAAAAGCCATGTTCCAAACCACCAACCAGATATCCTATTTGATCATAGTTGATCTATTTCTATCTATTTGGCTTCAGCTCCATGGCTATAGTTCGGGGATTTCCCTTTCCCGGTCCGCCTGGCTGACAGGGGAAATCTCAACATCAGCCCAAAAAAAAACCTGCCCCTGGGCATTTTCAGCACCATCTCCGCCTCCCAACTCCAAAATCACTGGCGTGATGGTGGGAGCCTTGCTGGCAGCCTGGCAAGGTAAATGTGAGGACCCTGGAAGCATCCTACCAACCGTGTGGATGGCATTGTTCATCCCATTAATTACTAGGGGTATCTACCCAATTCATAGACCTCGTTTTGTATTGGGTTTACCTTCAGTAACTACCGTTAAACTCTCATGCGACGATGAATTGCTGGAGATTTGGCCTTGTTGACCCTGTCTCAACACACAGTGTATCACCCGTTTTCTAATGGATGATCGGTTCCTTCCAAAATGGCGGCATGTTTCCATGGGTATCCCCTATAAATGGCTATAAAGACTAACAAATGGATGGTCCAAGGACTTTAAAATAGCATTGGATGCTTCTAATCCTTAAATCAAGCTCGTTGGAATCCGGATTTTCGTTCCAGGTGGGTCCCCGTTGAGACGATAGCGAAGTTGGTGCTATAATTCGCATAGCTTAACTGTGGGGTTGACAGAAAACACAAACCAAACCATGGAAAGTTAGCTAAAAATGACGGTTCATAGTTGATATAGTTGCTTTATGATGGCCAAGTGGGTTAAACTATAACTAGCTTAAGGATTGGGTTTACGGGGGATATCAAACGATTAGTTCATGGTGTTTGTAAAGAAAGCAACACAACTGGGGGGGTGCGCCGAACTGTTGACGGAATGACATCCCCGTGGTGTTTCCAAAACCACCAGCTGGTTTCATTGACGAATAAAATTATGGTTTATCAGCTGGTAAACCCACAATCAAGCTAGTGGTAGAAAACCAAATTCTTATTGATTACAGCTAGTATTCATAAAGAATAGTACATCAACATGCGAGAAATCGTACATAAGTACCAAGAACTCCAGAGACCCCCTTCAACACAGCAGAAGAGCTCCATCCTGCCCCCATTTCTTGTGTCAGCAACCCTGGTGATCATAAAGTCCCCGACTCGTGGTTTATTTCTGTCAACAAATGGGCTTTTTGGCATGCTATAGCTATGGTTCCTAACCTACTAAGTTCGGTGATCCTCCAAGTGGTGATTGTTGACTGATTAGACCTACATGGTCTTTGTAAAATCACCCGTATGCCCCAACGTTCACAAGTCTTGTTGCTTGTTCCCCAGTTTTCATTTCTGAAGTTGGGGTTCAATCCCAATTTCTGGATCTTAAGTCACCATGTTTCATCCAAAACCCGCCAAATCCCTATTTGGGTGAGCAGTGTTCGAAACCCTCTGTCGTCTAATAGGATGTCCAATAATGGATTGTCTCAATCCCCAATCTATTGGATAGTATAACCCCATATAGTAATCAACCAATCAACCAACAGGGGTTTTGAACAATGCTCAATTTGATATCTATATGATGTATGACTGTTGTAACTCAAGTTTCTTGGTAAACCCGATGCCATGCTCCATTCCCAAAATCACCCATATAATATTATAATTATGTAGATATAAATGGATATAAATCGATATATACTTTTCACCATCCCCAGTCATCAGGTTCTTATCCTTAAATATGCAATTAAACCACATGATATTTGGATATGTGACGATATGATGGTTTTTGGCAGGGTTGCCTCCATGACCTTTCGCCCAACATTGACGCTTCCAACGAAGATCACCTGGAAAACCAGGCACGAGAAACGCCTGGAACTCTAAGGTGTTTGATATGGATATGGGTGAGATCATGAAATATCTTCTAGATTAATTTAAATGTGTAGTATGAAATAAATAGGAGTGTTTAATTATCACTCGAATAGGTTAGTAATCAAATAATCATTGATGATGGTATAGATATTAAATAACCACATTGTTGATATTGATATAGACATAGATGATATTTGGGTGAGTAAAACCATAGGTTAAAACCATCAAAATATTGGTGGTGCATTATTGCTTTACTAACATTAGGGTGAATCCTTTCCCCCGTTCATAGTTGACGAATTTTGCAAACCACTGCCAGAAACCATGATAAAAAGTAGGGTATAAAAGCACACAGAATGGGGTTGTTTCATGTGAATGGAGGATGGGATAAACATGGAAAAAAAAAATTGGGGGGGGCACCCTGAGAAATTGTGGATGAACTCCTGTAAGCATACAAAAAGATGTGGAAAACCCACCATGAAAGTAGATTTCCGAATGGGAAACCGTGGGTTTCCACATCTCTGTTGGTTTACCCTCAGGAAAATCCCAATGAATGGAGAGATTCCAAGCAATTACTGGATGACTTGGATGGGACCTCTATTCATGGCCATGGGAACCATCGTTTGGAACCATTTGGAACCATGAAACCCCCAAAAAACTGGGTAAAAGTGTGGGCAAATATACCTCTTACTTAGCTAAACTCCTATCCAAACCATCCAAACAAATCCGGATTTTTCGTGCATTCAGATCATGTTTAGCTAAATTCATGAGTAAATTTCCTCTTTATCTTTTTCGGTAATCATAAAAGGTATGGCTTGCCCCAAACAAACAAGCTAACTTATCCATCCACTTCGTTGATCTAAATTCAAGGGGAAAAGGTAGATTTGACTCAAACAAAATGGGTGATAGTATGTGATGTGGATCAAAAAAGAAAGAATGACAAGTGAAGGGCAAGCATCAAGACTCATCGTAGATGGGTTTCTAAAAGCAAGAGCGACCCGAGATCACCGATGTTATTGATGAACCACATCACAAGGGTTTGTCTGAAAATGGTGTATTTATACCCAAAATAGCAATTGAATAGGGAAAATGGTGATTAGTATTCGGATTTTGGGGTACCTTATATATTCAGACAAACCCAAAAAAAGAGAAGTTGTTCATTACGCAAGTGAGCTATCACACCGGTGTTTTCTCAGGTGTTCAATCAGCAAGCAGTTGAGAAACTGAACAAAACATCGCCACTTTTATCCACTTTCCCAGAAAAAAAACAGCACGGATGGATGGATGGATGGATGGCTGGATGGCTGTTCGCAACTCAAGGTGAACTCACTAGGTGACCATTTTCTTCACCCAAACTGCAGCCAAGTCGCATAGGCTATCACAGAAAGGGTTGTGTAGAATGTATGAGTATCATTGTTTAATACAGTGGATAGAAGAAATCGTGCACCAGTTAATAGGTGGTAAACATCCCATTATTCATAGGCTTTCTACCATCCCAGGTGGTGCGGGATTTCTTCCATCCACAGTATGTGTTTAGTATAATTGGTGAATAGGATTAGGGGAACTATATTTGATGTCTGCACTATATGTGGTTATGAGATCCCCTGTAATATGACAGTATGACTAATAACCAATTCTCATTCAGAACCCATCAAACCTCCAAGTGCCTCAGTAGTATTACTACTGCTATTCTCATTACTCTTATCATTATTGTTACATTCATTATCTATATATATATATATATTAATATATATATATAGACCAGAGGATATGTATAATATCATATATCTATAGCAAGACATACTATTTGGTATATCTATTATCTTACTTTACTTTCATATATCTATAATTAATATCTTTCTATTACTTTACATTCGGATATGTACCCTTGGTGAACATCATGGGATTCATACGGTTATAGCCCCAGTTAGATTAAGGGAATACCCCCATTGCTATATGGGATGAAATTTGGGCAGTTATATATGGATTATTAGAACCCCGGATCCTAAGTGGGGTGCACATCCAAGTATAGAGATGCACATCCAAGTATAGAGATACTATATATATATGTATATATTTGTATATCTGTAGGACATAGAGAGATAGTATAGATATATATATATATATATATCCTAGATTCAGAATAGATAACATAGACCCGGGCAAGCCGGCGGCGGAAGTTTCCCAAACATAAATGACCTATAGTTCAAAGACAACCTGTCCCGACCGTGTCCTTCCCTCGACAACCGGTTGATTTTTTCAGCGAGAGACGAAGCAAAGTCTTCACACTCCACACTCCACACTTCACACTGCGCTCTTCGCACTCCAAACTTAAACTTCACACTCCACACTTCTTCTCACTTCCCACTGCTTCCTTCACACTGCACACTTCACACTGCACTCTTCACGCCCCACACTTCACACTGCTCTAAACCTACGTGCAACAAAAAAACACTAGCGCCAAAATGGAGAAAATCTGCTAACAAATCCATTTCGCAGCCTTCATGCAGCCAGTCCAAGACGATGTACGAGATATACGAGATCCAGCTGCAAAAGACATTACGCATGCAGCCAAAGCAAGAAGCAACCTTGACGCAGCCATTCCAATGCGATCTGCGGAGACTGAGTTGCAAAACACAAGAGAACTACGCGCAATGGCATCGGAAATTGTAGCTCCAAAACCGGATCTCGACGCCAGAGCGAAAAAAAGACGATTTTGAAGCACTTTTCAAAAGGATTTTTAGAAGGAAAATCACTAGCGCCAAAATGAGGAAAATCTGCTGACAAATCACTGTCGCAGCCTTCATGCAGCCACTCCAATACGATTTACGAAGTCCAGCTACAAAAGACAATAGTATTACGCATGCAGCCACAGCATGAAGCAACCTTGACACAGCCATTACAATGCGATCTGCGGAGACTGAGTTGCAAAACACAATAGAACTACGCGCAACGGCGTCGGAAATTGTAGCTCCAAAACCGGATCTCGACGCCAGAGCGAAAAAAAGACGATTTTGAAGCACTTTTTAAAAGGATTTTTAGAAGGAAAATCACTAGCGCCAAAAACGCATTTCGTGCGAGACTTCCTTCAAAACTCCTTGACGCAGCCATTCCAATGCGATCTGCGGAGACTGAGTTGCAAAACACAAGAGAACTACGCGCAATGGCGTCGGAAATTGTAGCTCCAAAACCGGATCTCGACGCCAGAGCGAAAAAAAGACGATTTTGAAGCACTTTTTAAAAGGATTTTTAGAAGGAAAATCACTAGCGCCAAAATGGAGAAAATCTGCTGACAAATCACTGTCGCAGCCTTCATGCAGCCACTCCAATACGATTTACGAAGTCCAGCTGCAAAAGACAATAGTATTACGCATGCAGCCACAGCATGAAGCAACCTTGACACAGCCATTCCAATGCGATCTGCGGAGACTGAGTTGCAAAACACAAGAGAACTACGCGCAATGGCGTCGGAAATTGTAGCTCCAAAACCGGATCTCGACGCCAGAGCGAAAAAAAGACGATTTTGAAGCACTTTTTAAAAGAATTTTTAGAAGGAAAATAACTAGCGCCAAAAACGCATTTCGTGCGAGACTTCCTTCAACAATGGAATTCTGTCGACCGCGCATGCACGAAAAACACTTGAAACCCCATTTACAATGCGGAACCGATCCGACCATGGTCCGAGACCGATCCGACCATGATCCGACCATGATCCGACCACACACGAGACCGTCTCGCACCCGTCGCACCGCAGAGGTAGATCATCGAGGTTCGGGGACAGACTTTGTATGGAAAAACATAGGGTTTCGTGCATCTGCTATCTCTCAAAAACGCATTTCGTGCGAGACTTCCTTCCAAAACTCCATCGGCAACTCATCCACCAGCACCACTTGCAATCCCATTTACAATGCGGGAACGATCCTATACAGTTGCAAACCACAATGGAATTCTGTCGACCGCGCATGCACGAAAAACACTTGAAACCCCATTTACAATGCGGAACCGATCCGACCATGGTCCGAGAATGATCCGACCATGATCCGCCCATGATCCGACCACACACGAGACCGTCTCGCAACCGTCGCACCGCAGAGGTAGATCATCGAGGTTCGGGGACGGACTTTGTATGGAAAAACATAGGGTTTCGTGCATCTGTTATCTCTCAAAAACGCATTTCGTGCGAGACTTCCTTCAAAACTCCATCGGCAACTCCTCCACCAGCACCACTTGCAATCCCATTTACAGTGAGGGAACAATTTCTTTGCTAACTCTTTCTGTGACTAACTCTTTCCCTCACAAACTCTTTCTTTGACTAACTCTTTCCCTGACTAACTGTTTCTTTGCTAACTCTTTCTTTCACTACCTCATATATCCTGACTAACTCTTTCTTTGACTAACTCTTTCCCTCACTAACTCTTTCTTTGACTGACTCTTTCCCTCACTAACTCTTTCTTTGACTAACTCTTTCCCTCACTGACTCTTTCTTTGACTAACTCTTTCCCTGACTAACTCTTTCTTTGACTAACTCGTTCCCTGACTAACTGTTTCTTTGACTAACTCTTTCTTTGACTAACTCTTTCCCTGACGAACTCTTTCTTTGCTAACTCTTTCTGTGCCGAACTCTTTCCCTCACTAACTCTTTCTTTGACTAACTCTTTCCCTCACTAACTCTTTCTTTGACTAACTCTTTCCCTCACTAACTCTTTCTTTGACTAACTCTTTCCCTGACAAACTGTTTCTTTGACTAACTCTTTCTTTGACTAACTCTTTCCCTCACTAACTGTTTCTTTGCTAACTCTTTCTTTGACTAACCTTTCCCTGACTAACTGTTTCTTTGCTAACTCTTTCTTTGACTACCTCATATATCCTGACTAACTCTTTCTTTGACTAACTCTTTCTTTGACTGACTCTTTCCCTCACTAACTCTTTCTTTGACTAACTCTTTCTTTGACTAACTCTTTCCCTGACGAACTCTTTCTTTGCTAACTCTTTCTGTGACTAACTCTTTCCCTCACTAACTCTTTCTTTGACTAACTCTTTCCCTGACTAACTGTTTCCCTCACTAACTCTTTCTTATACTAACTCTTCTTTACTAACTCTTTCTTTGACTAACTCTTCTTTGACTAACTCTTTCTTTGACTAACTCTTTCCCTCACTAACTCTTTCTTTGACTAACTCTTTCCCTGACTAACTGTTTCTTTGCTAACTCTTTCTTTGACTAACTCTTTCCCTCACTAACTCTTTCTTTGACTAACTCTTTCCCTGACGAACTGTTTCTTTGCTAACTCTTTCTTTGACTAACTCTTTCTTTGACTAACTCTTTCCCTGACTAACTGTTTCTTTGCTAACTCTTTCTTTGACTAACTCTTTCCCTCACTAACTCTTTCTTTGACTAACTCTTTCCCTGCCGAACTCTTTCTTTGCTAACTCTTTCTTTGACTAACTCTTTCCCTGACATTCTAAACTCTTTCTTTGACTAACTCTTTCCCTGACGAACTCTTTCTTTGCTAACTCTTTCTTTGACTAACTCTTTCCCTGACATTCTAAAAGTCCGTAACACGGAAGTTTCTCCCCCTAAACTTCCTTTGATTAGATAATTTAGATATATTTAGATATTAGATATCACACATTAGATATATTGTACATCTTCAATATGGAAAAAAATCTCCATCCCATCCTGCCAAGCCCGGCCTTATCGCTTTGCTCCACCAAAGCCTTCCCTGCCTCCGCATAGCCCGGCGCCAGTTGTACCAGCTCCAACGGCGCGCCGGCGGCGCTCAGACACTGGCGCAGGGCCCTCAGGAGGAACTGCCTTTCTTGCCACGGGCACTGAAAAATGGTGGGTTTTATAAGACTTCACCCAGGAAAAACGGTGGTTCTATGGTGGGTCTTATGATTGAACTCGGAAACATGGGGTGATTTCACCAGCAAAAATGTGTGTTTCACCGGTGAAAGTGGCTATTTAAGCGGTAAAAATGACAAAAATGATGATTTTTCCCATGAAAGAATCAGCAAATTGCTGTTTCACCGGTAAAAATGATAGTGTTTCTAAGAAAAATGGTTGGTGAAAGCCATGGGGAATTCACCCTTAAACCAGTTCGAGTAGCTGGGATCATCCCAAAAAACACTTCCTGTCCTGAGGACAGCCGAGTGAATAGTGTTATCCATGGAGATTTGCAGAAGCTGATTGTGAAATTGACCAACCAGTTTTGGATTCGATCTAAGCAACAGAAGAAAAACTGGGGAAGTCAGTTTTAGTTGATGATTTTAAGGATTCGTTTTGTTGGCAAAATCGAAATCGGTTGAAACCCATGGATTTTTACGAACCAAAATATTTTGAGGTGTCCTGCAAAATGTCCCACCAATCCATTGACTCCAATGATCATTTGTGTTCCGGGATTTCTCAGCTAGCCATCTTTGATTGCTGATATAGACGAGTCACTTATTGAAAAAAAATGGTGATTTGTTCAATGACCATCTGATTGTGTGAACCTGAAACTTCGTGAAACTCTGAGAAAAGCCTAATCTGGTAAGCCCAATGCGATAAACCATCCCGAATATTACCCTCTGGTAGACTAACATAACTATGGAGAATAACCATTTTTAATGGGTATATCAACCAGAAATGACCATTTTCAATAGCAAACTGTTAAATTACCAGAGGGTACCATAAATGGGTGGTAGGTATCATCCCCAACTGGTCGATTTATTGTTGGCTTTATCAGGGAGGTTCCATGTCCAGAGCTTCCTTCAAGATCACCAACATGATGGGTCACCTATTATCGCAAACCAATCCAGCTGAAATTAACCAAAAAATCACCAAACTGAAAGTCACGCAATTCAGCAACGAATCGTGAATTCTCCATTTTTTCCAGCATATTTTAAGTGAATGATTTAGAAGAATCAAGAAGATCAAGAAGTATCCTCCAGTAAATTAACACAGACGGCAGTCATCGGGCTTGGAAGATTGCTGGGTGAGTTTCCACTAAAAATTGAGGTGATGTTCATTGATTTTCAGGGTCTACGGGTCGATCTTAACTGGTTGGTGGTTTCAACCATCTTGAAAAATATGAGAGTCAAAGGGAAGGATTATTCCATATATTATGGAAAAATTAAATTCATGTTTAAAACCACCAACCAGTACGGGTCGATCTTAAATACCCTCTGGTAAACTAACATAGCTATTGAAAATTGCCATAGAAATAGTTGATTTACCCAGCTATAAAATGGTGATCTTCCATAGTTTTTTGTATGTTTACCAGAGGGTAACCAGAGGTTACCATCATTCGCCCAGCTACGACGACCAGGCGCTGAACTCCGAGACTTTGATGACGATGGCGTTCCTGGGAGAATGCTGGGCCGATTTTGGATCGCCAAACTTACCCAGCCTGGCAAACATACAAAAAACTATGGAAAATCACCATGTTATAGCTGGGTAAATCAACTATTTCGACTGGGCCATTTTCAATAGCTTTTTGTTTGTTGACCAGGCTGGGTAGAAAAAAAATGGTGTTGAAAAATGGAGGCCCCAGAAGGGACCACAGACTTTCATATGTGTTTAATATTAACCATCCAATTCTTGTACTACTGTACCCAATGTTTTTTCCTATATCTCATTCTTTCTATCAGTGATTTTCATAACCATCCAGAAAATCTGAAGGATTTCTGGGATTTCTGTGGAAAATATCTGAAGATTTTTCCAATTTTCTGCCAGATTTTTCTGGTCACCCAGGTTTTTCAAGCGATGGGATCATCCCACTGAATCCAATGTCGACACCAAGAGCCATTGTTATTTCCGACGGTGGGGCGAATGATGGTAACCTCTGGTTACCCTCTGGTGAACTAACATAACTATGGAAAATCACCATGCTATTAATGGGAACATCAACTATTTCTATGGCATTTTTCAATAGCTATGTTAGTTTACTGGAGGGTAGTTATTCTAGTTTTAAATACGAAATTTACTAAATAATGAAAAATTATTTGGGAATAGTCCAAAGATGATCATCTTGTAATATCATGTAATATCCACGTATTAGACTACAATCAATCTCTTCCATCTAATATCAAATAGCCATGATAAAGTACCCAAAATGAACGCCGGTTTGTAGCTGCTGAATCTTAGGTTGGGATTATGGCTGAAATGTGCTCCGCAGCGTCCCGGTTGCCACTTCGCTATCCTTTGGTAATCCAAAAAAAACCGCTGGACAAAAGTTTACAAAAAATAGCATAAGATAAACAGTAAATGATATGGCAGTGTGTCAAAACCTTGTACCCCTGGTGAACATCAAAATAGCTGGTAAATGGATGTTCATCCCACCAAAAATGGTATTAATAGGTATTTATCCATACCCATATTTCTGCAATGGTAAACGATCCCAAAACATGTCCACTGATGGCTTGGCATTCTGTCATTTTGCCAATGTGCTAACGGTTAGCGTACCCGTTTTTGATGCGCCCATCATATCAACAGGATGAATCAATCCAACAATAATTGGAAGTGGTCTTGGGAGCAATACTTTGCGGGTGAGTTCTTTTCCGGACTGAACTGGTGCAGAAAATGAAAATGAGTGGGGCAAGAACCTGATGGTTTTCCTCCGTATTAGCCATCATTTATGGGGTTTGGTCATGTTTGGTCCTTGTTTCTTGTCTACAAACGATCTAGGCTAAAGGATCGAAGTGAAAATGAGGAAAACCATGGAAAACTCCATGTGTTTCAGGCTTCGACTCCCTTGCTTGTCAGGACTCCCGGAGAAGACTGCCGCGATGATGGGGTTGAAGACGTTGTGAAAGGGGTAGTTCCTCGGCGCAGGGCAGCTACCCTCCGGTCATCAAACGGGTTCATGGGAAGAAACATCGATGGGTGTGGATTTTCCATTGCCACGTTTGATGACCAGATGGTATACCCTCTGGTTATGACTAACATAGCCATGGTATAGATGGTCCATTTATAGATGGTTTACCTGTTAAAAATGGTGGATCTTTCCATGGCTATGTTAAATAACCAGATGGTATAATACTGTAATGGTACCGTGATGTCAATCCTGGATTATTAAACCCCGTTTACGGCTGTTTAATTGGGGGGTACCATTGATGTATCATATTGTGACTATTTGGAGGGTACCCCCCACAATTAATAAAGCATGGTTTATTAATCCGGAGTTGACATTATATAAGAGTCTGAAACCATACAGATGAACTGCCAGAAGCACTTGCCTTTGGTGATGAAACACCCCGAAACCAGCAAAAAACGTTTGGAAGACGGATTTTCGGTTGGAAAAACAGCACCTGTAGGGGTTTCCTGCCCATCCGGGACTTGAACTGCGGAAATTAGGGTACCCCAGCGCCTCTTGGTTTGTCACCTCCTTATGAAAATTTGTCTTCAAAGCCATCCCAGACTAGTTGAAATATCCCATGATCTTCCCATGATGTCTGGTTTTATAATGTCTTATACTACCCATTGTTCATGCTATTTTGTTGGCACCCTCACATCCAACGCCCAATGGCACCGTGCCGCTTCACAATTCAGCCCAGTGGCCATGGCACAATGGCACCAACCACTCCCACTGGCACCCACTCCTCGGCAATTTTTTGGCTAAACCGCTCTCAGAGACCTGGATGTTTTTCACTTGGGCAATCTGGATGTAAATGGTTACCCAGCCTGGTAAACATACAAAAAGCCGTGGAAAATTGCCATTGAAATAGTGGATTTTCCCATCAATAATGGTGATGTTCCATAGTTTTTTGTATGTTTACCAGAGGGTATATTATATGGAAATGGGGAAAAAAAACGCACTCAACTAGTTGGTGGTATACTTACCCCATTTTTTTTTCCATTTGTGCTGCTGCACCATTTGGTGCTCGGTTGGTTCGCGTGCAAAGGGCAACCGGCTTTCAGCCTTTGCCTCCGTGGTAGTCTGGTTGAACCACGGTGTCTGCCTGGCAGCTTTGCTCCAGGTATGGTTCAAATTCTGCAGGTAGGGTAGTTGCAGTACTGTACTGTGCCCACCTCGCTGCAGCATTGAACATCGCCTTGCCAAGCACCCGGTTGAGGCCATATGGGTACACCTTGGCTTTGGCTGTGTTGAAGGTGCCGTCGTGCTCGCGGCCTATGAGGGTTGTGTGCGACCCTGGTGGGTGATTGCAACGTCCATAGGCTCCTCGAAGCATCAGCTGGTCTCGGACTTCTGACATGCGGAGAAGGATCAATGTTGTGGGTTTTTTTGCCACAGCCCCTACTATGCACTGATCGAAGCTAACTACGGAAAAGCAGTCGAGGCGCTTCAGTGATTTCAGGGCGTCCATTGTCCAGATGCTTGCCGGTTGACCTCTGGTGCACCACGTTGGGAATTGAGGATGTTCGAGAAACCCGCTCATGCCCATCAACGCAAGGGTCACCAACATGTCCAAGAGAAAGCGGAGGAGTCGATCGCTAATGCGGAGCTGGGCCCATTCCCGCAGTTTGAGGCCCGGAAGGCCAAGGGGCTGGCTGGCACTTCTCAAGGGTCGCGAGCCTCCATCATACTGTCTAGCGACAGTAAAGGTCTCGCATGGGGGGCCGCCCCCTGCAGCCACGACTTGTCCACTGAGGATTCGTTGCTTCCACCATTTGCATGCTTGCGGTGTTGCTAAGTCTCCGCTCTTGCGTTGCATACACAAATCCACCGACAACGTGAAGATCTGGTAGCCACTTTCAGCGACATAGTGATCGATCACGTGATGGATATCGCCTGTACGCCGATAACCACTAAAGAAGTGGACCACAACTAAGGCTTTGACGTGTAAAATGGCAATTTCTGTTGCAAGGCCTCTCATTGCAAATGCCCCACCTCCTGCGTCGACCCCACGGACTGAGTGCATGATGAAAGCCGGGATGTCTGCCGGGCTCCACCACAGTTGGGGCTCTGGAGACGGCCTTTGGCAAACTTTGGTGCCTTGCAGCTGGGTAAAGGCCACTTCGTCACTTGGACGCCTGAGTTGCATCCGGTCATGCATCAGTTGCGCTTCAGGGCTACCTGCTGGGGGAAGGCCGGGTCCAAGCGTGGCGAGGACTGGCTGGAAGGCCTTGGATGCCCACCATCCCTGTTTTCTCAAGTTGGCTTCCTGAGTTCTGTCGTCTGCATCAAGCTCCTGCACTTGCGCTGCAGGGAGTGGGGGCCAACAGGCTAGTACTGTGTTGTAACAGCGAGGTTGCTTTTCCAGGTGCACTGAGAGTCGTTTGCGTGTGTGAAACTTGAGTCCACACGCTTGGCAGGTGTCGCCAATTGCGTAGTAGCGCACCTTCTTCTTATATCCATGCTCTCGGGCTGCATGCATGGCCAGCGCTCTGGTGGATGCAAAAACTTTGTGGCAGAGGTCACACTGCCATCGTTCAGGCAAGGTCTTGTCTGGCAAGGTGGCTCCTGCTGCCCGGAGGGTAGCGTCAAAGTGCCTCTGCCAAATGGCATGTTCCGCCCTGGATCGGTGAAAGGACAGAGCAAGCTTGCTAGTTTTGCGAATTCTGCCTTTCCAGTTGGGATCAAGCCGGACAAAGTTAACCCACTCCATGAAAGTGGATGCTTCAGTCATCGGCAAGGGACGGTCGTAATGTGTGAGGAGCCATTGACATGATTCGAGGCAGTGGTTGATCCAGGAATGCTGGCCCTGGGTGGAGTGCAACAGTGTCCAGGTGATTGGAGGGCATGCTTGCAACAGGCGCGCCAGGAAACGGAGCCGGTTGGCATGGACCTGGTCTTGCAGTGGCAAAATGCCAGCATACGCCATCATTTCGTCTGTGGTATGTTGGTAGCGTGTAGAAGGCAGTAACAGCCCTTTGGGCAAGGTGCCAGCTGGCGCTTTCATGTGATTGACCCACATCTCCATCTGCTTGGGGGTGATGGATGACCATGTGTGGGCATTGTATGTCATCTTGGACATCACAAGGCTTTGGAACACCGCACTTTTGACCGGGAGAGTGACGGTCTTCTTGGTGAAAAAAGATCGAGCCAACTGGCCCCATTGCTGTTTGGCGCTTGCTGCCCGGGTCAGGATTTCCTTGGAGTGTTTATGGTGCGCCTGGACCCAGGTTCCTAGATGTTTATACGCGTGGCATACATGCAAGGAGTACTGGCGGCCCTGGGCGTCCCATTGCAGGAGCTGTCCATCATTGTGGATCTTGCGTTTCATTTCCCTGGCTCCTTTCCCAAGAATTGTCCAGAGCACTTCCGTCTTACCTTGTTCGAAGTTGATGCTCAGGCCTCGACGGGTTGAGGCTTTATCCAAGGCAATGACGACTGTTTGCAGGTTGCTGGCAACTTGACTGTTGGAGCGGTTATGCAGCAGGACTACACAGTCATCCACGAAAGTAACGTCGACAAACCCTGCTGCAGGCATGGTAGTGGTCTGTGCAAGGTCTGTGACTGGGGTAGCAGTACCCAGCCAAGGCAGGCCGGATTGCATCTTGACATCCTGGCGGAAGTCTCGCAATATGAGACACATGCATAGGTTGAAGAGCACATCAGCTACCGGGTCCCCTGGTCTGGTCCCCCTTGTGGTTTGGCACGGGTTGGCCAATCCGGCAATGGTGAAGTAAGTGTTGTGCATCAGGTCACGTAAGACGTGTTGCAAATGTAAGGCAAGTCCTGGGGTGGCATCATCCTGTTGAGCAACAGTCACCAGGTCTTGGATCTCTGCTGGGGTGAGTCCAAATTGCTGCATTGCGGCCATGAATGCAACATCACTGGATGGAAGGCTGGTGAATGTTTGACGCAAAACCATGTAAAAGGCCGATTTCAGGTCTACAAACAAGGCAGCCGAGGGTATGGCTCTCTGTTTGCACCAGGATTGGTGACATTGCAAAATATGGTGGGCAACGTCGGCACCTACACCCTTGCGGCCACCACATTGGAGGTGCGTCAAGGAGCCTTCCCAGGCAGCTACTAGATGCGCCCTGAAGCTCTGGTGATACAGCTTGGTGGTATAATTCGAGATGAATATGCTACGGTAACCACTTGCAATGTGGGGGGGGAGCTTGCCCTTCCACAAGGGGACCAATACTCCTCCTTTCCAATGCAAGGGCTCTTTCGAGCCTGCAGCAACCTTTGCAAAAAGGATGGAGAGCTGTTTTGCAGCAACTTGGCCGCCTGCTTTGATCAAGCTGGGCGGAATGAGATTTGGGCCGGGTACTTTGCCACGTTTCAGGCGCGAGATCAGCGTCTGTACCTGCCATGCGCCTGGAAAGGCCGTAGGCTCCAGGTCCTGGCACTGGTCCTGCGCAGATGTGTCCTCATGCTGTTGCACCATCTCGTCCCAGTTGCGTTCAACACCGGCTTCAATCTGAGAGAATTGGTGCATCCAGGTATGTTGTTGTTCACTGTATGAGGTGGCCATGCTACCATCAGGTTTTTGTAACATGGGTAGGGGCCGTGGCCCAGCTGCTCCAGTTCCCTTCTTGCGCCCGAGGCGGTGCAGGAGTTTGTAAACCAAACGGTGATTGGCAAGCTCCCCAGAGGACTGCAGTTGGTGGAGCAGGTCTGTGTAGAAGCATTGGATGTCTTGTTCCACTTTGCGAGCCACGTCCTTTTCAATCAGGCGGAGTTCAGCTTTGAACTCGGCCTGATGCATGCAGCATTGCTTACGGCCATAGTCAAGGATGTGCCGTTTGAAAGCTATGGCTTGAATCGTGTCAGGTTGGAGTTTGATTAACCGGTTTTTTCCCGGTGCTTTGGCAAAAAATTGTTGTCCAAGGGCGAGGATTTGGCGCTCATATAGCGCAGCATGATCGTCGACCTGTGTTTCCCATGTGGGAATGGGCAATGTGTTCAACGCATCCTGGAATGCTTGATATCGATGTGGGTCCAACATGGCCTGGTCATCCCAAGTGACTGGTGGTTGTGCAGCAGCAGCGGGGAGCCACCCTTGACATCGCAGCACGGCTGGGAGATGGTCTTCATGCGCAAAGGTGGCATCATGATGGACATCGATCCAGCTGGCAGTCACAAGCGGGTAGACTGACCTGGACACTAGCACATAGTCCTTTCTACTCTTTTTGCCTGTGCTGTGGGTCCATGTTGTTGTGGGCCCGCTGTGCAATTGAGGGAAGGTGCATGGAACGACCAGTTGGTGGTGTTGGATGAACTCTTCAAAGAGGACACCTGCTTTGTTGGCCGGTTCTGCTCCATGCCGTCCAATGAGGTCTCCATCTCCTTGGGTGACTGGTGCGTTGGCGTCAATGAGAACCCACTGTGCATCAGCTGTAACATGCTTGGTGTAGAGATTACTTGTTTCTGCCCACCACTGGGAGGCATCGGTGATGGGATTGGGGTTCTCCTGACTGGGGGTCGCCAAACTAGGCGCATGCAGGACAACCATGGCATATGCATTGGGATAAAGCGGGGATCGTTTGTGCTTGGCCCCTGAGGCAAAGATGTGATAGTGAGGTGCATGAAATCTGCCTTGAGAAGTCCGTGCTTCTTGGATGCCTATGATGTGAAGCTGGGCCTTGTGCCATTGGCTGTCTAACCGTAGTGTCCTCTGACCGGTACGTTTGGTGCCTATGGTTTGGGATTGCCAGACTTCCGTGGCAAGGACATTAGCAGTGCAAACCTGGAGATTCCATGTGGATCCCTCCTGTTGCTCAGCTGGCTGGAGCCGCTCAGTCGGTAGGACTCCAAGCTTTTTGTTAGATGGGGAGAAATGCATCACTTGTTGTTGCAACAGCGGTGGGAAGCAAGCCGTTATTGACGGGTGTGTCGTCTGCATCCATGTCCAGTTGACATCGTGTGCATTCGAGGCCAGTTGATGGAGCTGCTCGAACTGACCCTTGAGTGGGTTGCTGTGGTGTTGCATAGCCCATTTTGCGATACTGTCGGCCAACTCATTCCAGGCGTTGCCTGTATGCCCACGCACTTCGTGGATGTCAACTTGTTTGGATAGCCACAACCCTAAGGCACAACACATTTTGGCGAGCTGAGGGTTGGAGCGGCATGTGGTGGCGGCAGTGGCAACTGTTCGGCTTAAGGACAGGTCTGGGCGGATGCAAACCTTCGCATTTCCAGGCCATCGCATGATCATGTTTTGCGCAAAGATCATAGCTGATAGCTCGGCTGCAATATTGTCTGATGTGTCAGCTCCTACCCAGTCTGGGTGCTGTGGGTTGAGGTGAACAGTGCCATATATACATCCAACAAAGTGGTCACATTGCTGGTGGCTGGCAACTATTACAACACTCCAGCCAGCCTCATGCCCATTAGCTGCCCCATCTAGGAAAAGGGTGTAGCTGAGGTCAGCATGAGCGTCAGTGGGCGGTGACTGGAGGAGAGCCCAATACGCAGGGTCTGGAACATGCATGCCATCAGGAAGTGAAAGGATGGGACAAGCACATTCTTCTTCCAAGGTGATCTTCCATGCATCGTTCGCAAACCATAGGAGCTGCGGTGCATCAGGCTGTGTGTCTAAGGACGGGGCAACCCGTTCATCGGGGATGACCGCTTGCAAGCATATCTGAACAGGAAAGGCCTTGTTCCTCGGGACTGCTTGATCCCAGGGGTCTGGTTCCTCTGGGGCAGGTCTTGTGTGGCGATGGATGGCTGCCGTTGCAGACTGAGCTGGAGTCACCTGGTTGGGGACTAGGGGATCTAACTCAGTATCAGCAAGCCATGCTTCACACGTATTGGCTTGGCTATTGCAGTCAGGTCCAATGAAGGCTAATGCAAGGATGGTTTCTCGGCGCACCAGCAACGGGACCATGGTGGCATGTCTGCGGTATGAGCCTGGCATTGCATTGTCGACAGTGGTCAGCAAAATCGACGTAAAACCTGGCTGTTGTTGCTGGGTTACCAGAACATGTGCAACTGCATGCGCTTCCATGCCAAGTGGCGATGGTTGAACGACCTCAACATCTACTGGGAGATCCGGCAGCAGGTAGTCTTGCCATGCTCTCATGATGCGTTGCTTCCATGCTTGAGGATGGGCAGGGAGATGAACCTCTCTTGGAACAAGGCATTGGGGAAAACGTTCATGGTCAGTCATCCAAGTGATGACAGGAGCCATGGGTTGAGCCTGTTTGGGACGCAAATTGGCCAGCTGCTGCCAGCGGTGTATGATGTCTACACTTACTGTGCCAATAGACGCTAGTGACGAATGTTCATGGCCGAAAAATGGCTCATGGCCTCCGGGCCGTTCATGCAGCGTACTGGGAAAGTCAATGGCAGTCAGTGTGCTATCCTGCCAATGGGTGACGGTTTTAAGGCCATTGTGTATTTGCTGCATGGCCTTCAGGATCTCCAGAAAGGACTGCTGTACATGCCGAACATAGCCTTCATCATTCTCATCTCGATCCTGATCACCACCGGTTGCAGCACAATGTTCATGCTTGTCCTGAGGAGGCACCACCTTTGCAGAAGCATGTACCGTTGGAGGGTGGTTGTGGAGCTGTATCATGGCAACTGCATCACGTTCATGGTCAAGTGAATCAGTAATAACTTCAAATGTGAACCCATGTCGTGCAGGGTATGAGCCTCCTGGAGGAATGGGTGTGCTTCCATGATAGGCTGCTATACCTGGCGTGCTGTCCACTTGGTGTTGAGCTATGCCGGCTTGCTCAAAGAGGATCTCTCGTGTGACCAGGCCTGGTGTCAACGTATAAAACCTGGACCGTGCCATGGGTCTTCCATGAGCTCAGTAACGCTCACAAGCACTGCAAACTGATCAGGTGGTGGGTTTTGAACCACGAGCACATGTGCAAGGATGTCTGGTGTACCGCCTGGTGGGTCAGGTTGCGCGACGTATAGGTCAACCGGTTGGCCAGGCTGAAGCCAGTCTGCCCACCTTTGGAGGATATCGGTTGGCCATTGCACTGGTTGGGTGGACAAAATGACATCACGAGAGTGGTCGCTACGTGGCAAGGTCTGAGGATCAGAAAACCAGGTGGCAACACGTGTTCTGCTGAGGGGTGGTTGAAAGCAGTGCTCCCGTGCACGGTTGGCTTGCCATTGAAGCATTTGATGAAATTCATCCAGATTCCGTACCTGTATGATGGCTCTTTGAATCGGCTGGTGCATGTCTCCTGTATTGGCAGGAAGTGGCTGGTGTATCTGCAGCAACATTTGTTGTGTCTGTGATACCGGGGGCTGCACCGGACTGTTTGGTGGTCCCCTACTTTTGGGAAATGCTTTATAGCGAGGCTGTTGCATGAGTGAAATCGCGTCACTGTCGGCATCAATGGCATCCTCATCTGCACTGAGATGTGGGTCCTGTGGCACTTCATGACTGCTACTGGCTGGGTGCGACAATCGAGTGCGGTGATCACCAACGTCCAACAAGACACTAATGCCTGAGGGAACCCGTTCAGCAACATGATGTTCGAAACGGTACCTGCCAGAGAACAGGTGCCATGGCCGAAAGGAACACTGCGGTTGTAACCCATGATCTTGGATCATTTGGTGAGTGCATACATCAGGAGGAGATGACTCTGCTTGTTGAAGGAGGCCTGTTCTTGTACCGCCATGGAAAGCTGCAGTGAACAAGAGGGCTACCCGGGTGGGAGTCATGCCTTGTTCCAGAATGATATGCACAACTGCTTGAGGCCTAAATTGATAGGCAGGCGTTGGCTTAACAACATGCACTCTGATAGGCTGTTGTCTTTGGATTTGATCAAACCACGCATTGCATAGGTCTGCATACCAAAGCTCTTGGATATCATCAAGGCGAATGAGTCTAGGAGCCGGGCATATTGGCATGGTGTTGTGGTGAACATACCATACTTCAACTGACATCTCCGGTCCTGTTTCCTGATGATGCACGGTTCCGTGGTCAAGGAATATGGAGTGCAGCTCAATATGCCATGCCGGTCTGGGCGGTTGCACATTCTGTGCAGGCCCTGGCAGATTGGGCAACCTGGCTTCAAATTGCGGTGGTTCGGATTCATGGTGCATGCCTGTTCTTACCTGTGTGACTGCCTGAGTGGATGACTTATCATCAGGTCCTCTTTGGCCGTCATTGGCATCAGTTTCAAATGGGTCTTTGGGACTGCTATTCCGTACAACCACCCTATCGGCCGGTGCAAGCACTTCGGAACCTGGATTCTTTGGAACAAAGAATTGAGTAAGCTTGGTCTGCTTGGTGTGCTGTGTGCTTGAGCATCTCAGGCTTTCACAATGCTTACGAAAGAACTGAGAAATTTTGGTCTGTTTGCGCAACTGCGGTTTGTCCAAACGCAAGCGTGGTGGACCTGACAACGGTTCAATGCAGGATGGTGAAGCATCATCTGTGTCAACACGTGTGCCTGCGGAAGGAACCTCTGTGGAGTTGGATCGCACCAAGGATGCATTTGAGTCGAGAGTAGCCATCTGTACACAAACTGTATGGGCGGATACACTCCCTACAAGCGGCTGCGGAGCTTTATCAGGCTGAGAGTGGGGGTTCAGTTCAGGAGTATCCTGCAGTACCGCACCCACTTTTTGGTTTAAAGCTGGCAGTTTACCTTTTGGTCGATCAATGTCAGTTGGCAGCCTACTTGTCTTGAAACTGAGTGGCCGTCGTGTGGAGGCAAACTGGGTCAGAAACGTGGCATCGTCATGATCCGACATGTCAAGCAGGTCACTAAGGGCATTGTCATCTTCAGCAACCTGCTGTACAACACTAACTGCAGTCTGTGTGGGCACCTCATGAGTGGCTAGAGGGGGGACTACTACTTGGGCGTAGGATCCATGCCTCACCGGCCTTGGCAGGTGGTCTTCTTCTGGCCAAAGCTGGGCATCCAGAGTCACTGAGCAATGCTGAGACACTAGAAGGCAGTAGTGGTGAACCGCTGCAGCCATGAGGATTTGTTGCCTGAGGATCTGATATCCAACCCTTTGTACCTCCCGCACCAGTGTGGGTCGATGGGAAACTCCTTCACTGGTTGAGTGGTGATGATAAATGATGTCAACTAACATCAATCTGTCGGTGGTTCGAATTGCAAGATCCCCTGTGCGTTGAACAACTGCAGCAATTTCATATTCCGGGATCTGATATGGCGTATGCGGCATTACGTGCAACGCTTCAAGGCAGTCGTACGATACCTGCAACGCATCTGCAATTTCTTGTGTGGGTTGGATTCTTTGATCATTGACAATTGCATGACTGACATCAACGGCATTGAGCTGAAAGAGATGCAAAACTGTGGTGAAGCGTGCATGCTGACTACTGGACGATGCAGGTTCCTGTCTACCAGGCGAGTAGCGTGGGCTGGCTGTGATGGCATCTGATGAGCTGGTGTCATCAGTTCGGTGCGCACTTGCTCTCTGTGGCATGTCGTGGACCGCAATTTGATATCCATCACCTTGCCCTACTCTGTGCGTTGGACCAAGGGTATTTGGGATTTGCATCCATCGGTGTGTAATCAGACATTCCGCATGTCTGCATATGCGCCCTGCATCAGCAGCTTGAATCAAGTCGAAACCACTTACCATTTCAGGAAGTGAGCATGCTACTGAAAACATCGCAAAAGAGTTTGCTCTACCTGGCAGGACTGTGATGAGTGCAGCATACCTGGGCATGTCCAATGATTGGGTGATTACCATGTCCTAGACCACAAACGCATGTTGTGCTGGGCGTGGTGGGTCAGGCTCAATGACAATCACATCAAACCACTCCTCGGCGTTAATCTGATCAGTCCAGACGGCTTGGATTTGTGCTTCCCATCCCTGAGGTGGACCCATGAGTTGCAGGAGTCTCGGGGCAGTCCATCTGTGGATGGTTCGATGGTCAATGCACCAGGTACGTACAGCCAAATCAAAGTCATTGTCATAGGGGTCAACACCAATTCTGTCCATTCTGTTGATGAGATTATGCACAAACGCAGGAAAGACCGGCTGGTCATGTTCTTCCATGTCGTCATCATCTTGATCTGGATCATCAGGGTTGTTCCTCATGGCTGGTGGGATCGGACTTTCATGTTCGAGCCTGACTTGAATGCACCTCGGATTATCCGTCTGCCAGGCAGCAATCAGGAGTTGCTGTTCCTGAGCGGTTTGGGCGCTAAAGCAAGAAGCAGGCATGTCACTCCATGAAGTCCGTTTTACACCTTTGGTCATCACAAAAGGGTCACCTGGAAAGGACACTCTTTGTGAGGTTGAATTGGTGGACAGCAACCTGGCAATGACCTTCAACTCGTCCTGAAAACGGTGCTGTGCGGTGATGGGAGGACGCAGTTGCTTGGACTTGGGAACCAAAACTGGGGTGAAACAAGTATGTGCATCCCTCGAAACCATTGCGCAGTCCAATTGGTCATTCCAACACTGTTGATTAATCAGTGAGTCTTGGGGCAATACATCACGATTGATGTGGAAAAAAATCATACCATGCGTTAAAACTGCATCTGTCTTGAGTACATTGCAACATCCATTGGGGTTTCCTTGCAGAGTCAAAATCAGAAGACACTTCGGCCCTCGAGATATCTCGGCTGGAATCGGATGTCGACTGTACAAACGGATGCTTCGGATGCAGCGCATGCATAGAAAGATCAACCTGTGGGACAAAATCAGGTCTGTTGTGATGCCGGCGGCATTGGTCTACGGGTTGGCTGGCAATTGGTGATTCGAGTGCTAGCTCACGATAACCGCCCTTAGCGTGCAATGACCATGGCTTCACAACTGATTCAATGGCGTCCACATGAACCTGAAAGTCATGGAAGGTGGCAGACTCTTCTTCACCTATCCTAATGCAGAGGACTTCCGAAAAGGTGACCCGCTGACACTGAGGCTTGATCAACTGATGCTTGTTTGCACCCCTTTGTTTGGACAGGACCGATTTGTTGGCAGTAGAAGCAAAACAACTAGCAAAATTGTCTACTGACCAGGTTGATTCACGGTACTGCTGAGCTTGATAAGTCTGCAAAATGCAGAGTTTCTGTGCAAGGTGAAACGCCTCATCTTGTGCTTGCCACTCTGAGACAAAATTGGGTTCAGATTGAACCGTACGCATCCATTTGGGAATGAGTGGGGTGACATCAACTGCATGAGTACTGGGCCCTAGAGCAATAGACACCTGATTGTTATTTACTCGGCCTAGCCAAAACCCGTATGTGTAGCACGCGATTCTGATGGCTTTGCATGGGTATCGACATTGTTTTCTTCGAGGCGTGGCCGCTTCAATGCCTTTTGTTCGTCTTCGACCATCTGAGCAGCAGATGTCTGGAGAGCTTCCAAACTTGTCTGAAGGTTTGTAAGCCCTTCCTTGATTCTGTCTGCTGTAGGGCCTGCGAGGTCCTGGGCTTCCTCGTCGCTTACAGCCATGGCATCCTCTTTGGTTTCGATGCCAGCCGTGGATTTGGCCTTTGCAAGGCTTTCCTTGGCTTGTTCCAGGGCCTCCATGGCTGTTGTCACCCTTTCGTTCATCTGCTTCTCTTGGTCTAGGAACTGAGCACTGTAACCTTGCCATTGGGTTACTGCTTGGCTCAAGAACCCACGCCAGGCATTGTGCAGGTTGAACCTGGCCAACTGCGCTTGCTGGAGCTCTTTGCGGGCTCTGCCATGTGCTGCAACTACTGCATGGAGTTGTTTCGTCTGTTGTTGACCCTCCTTGATTGCTGCTTCGTTGACCATCGTTTGGAGCTCTGCTGGCAAGGCTTCGCTGTGCTTTTTGAGCGCTGCCATCATGGTCTTGAGCTGTTTGTCTTCCACCGCTGGTTGCGTAGGAGGTGGCATCGTTGCAGCAATTGATTGCATGGTTGACAACCAAGGTGGCTCTGCTGGATTCGATGGAAGTACAGGGGGGCCAAATCTGTCGGTCTCGGCATTGGTATTTTTGCCCTTGCCCTTGTGACCTTTGCATTGGTCCGGATCCCTCTGTTTTCCTTTCCTTGAGGACTTTCTCCTTGAGGATGGCCTCCTTCTTGGTGACGTTGTCCACTGATTGCTGTCTGTTTGGTCTTGTGTCCATTGTTGATCTGCCCAGTCTTGGGCAGGCCAATCGGTGGCATAGCTCCACTGGACTGATCTCTGGCTCTTGGAATGCTTCTGTGGGGGCTGGAACGTTGGATCTGAACACAAGTGCCAGGATACTCCACAGATTCCACAAAACTGATGAGCAGCACTGCATACTTTCTTGCAAGTATGGCACCTCCATGGACTCATTGCATTGGTCGCCATTTCTTCTTTGATGCGGGCAATGTGCACGGGGTCGCTTGAGTGATGCTGTTGCAACTTCTGTAGCAGTTTGGGGAGCTTCCAGCCTGGTAGAGGACTGATGCCTTTCCGATGCAAATACCACAGCAGTCGCGCTCTTGCTCTGCCACGTCTCTCCGCTCTTCGACGGGTTGCTGTTGCCGTGGTTTTCACTTTGGGACAAATCAACCAAGATCAATGGGTGCAATTGCACGTAATCAGCCAGCAAGGTGAAAAGGATGTAGAATGTCGCAAAAATATGCAAGATTGAAATCATCCACTTGTTCACTGAGCCAGGCAGAAAATGCGGGGAGCTCACCCCCAGATGAAAATAAGGGCCGCTGTATGGCCAGCGCAGAACCAGTGAAAAGTGCCCAAATTAAATGTAAAAATTGTCAAAATTGTCAAGGTTGCCAAAGCCCAATACCCTTGTTGTCCAGGTCGATGCTAATGAATTGTAGCACAAGCACCGAGGGCAATGACCCAGGTTGTTGAGGAGCTGGGACTCCTATATTGCAAGTGATTTGGCTCACTTGTAAGGCCACACGTTGCACAAGAAATGTATTGTTGTAAGTGAGAGCAGCTTGCAGAAAAATCAATGCAGAGCGGGCAGGTCACAACCAACAACGTATGTTCCTGTACCACCAATCAAAACACAGTTCAGTCAAGTGAATGACAGTGAAAAGGTTAATGAAAGGAGTCAACGATGAAGGTGAAGGTTCCAAACAGTGAACCCGTGGGCAGGAACAACGGTTTGCACACTAAGGCTATGGCCAAAATCCCACGTCAACGTCACGAACCGATGAGGGAGTTTTGAGCCGATACCTTTCCAGCGGCCTTCCTCCGATCCACCTTGCCCCACCGCGTCCTTGGTTTGAAATCAGTCTTTGCTTTCGCGTTGGAGAGTTCGTCGTCGTTGGCCACCTGCCCCTTGCACTCGGCAGTCGAATCTGTGCTCATGTCGAACATCTGCGGCTTCGCTGCCTGTGGGAACTGCGCGAGGTGCTCCGTGGTCTCATTGTCGCTGTCGTCGCTGTACTCACTCTCGGGAGGAGCGAAGGGCATCTCCGGCAAAACCAGCTCCTCGAACTCATCATCTGTGCTGATGTCGAACACCTGCGGCTGCTCTGCCTCCGCTGGCTGCAAGGTCCAATGTGCCTCACTCAAGCCCACGCTCTTTTGCCTCTCCATCTCGAACTTGTGACTCAAGTTGGAGACCTCTTGTTTGCCCTGTTCAAGCTCCTGCTCAGCTGCAGACAGGGATTTTTGTTTGAGATCCGCGCGAGCCTTTTCCTCCTCGGCATTCAGATCCACCTGAAGGTCTGCCACAGCGGTCTCCCCCTCTGAAGCATGGGCTTCCATCTTCTGGCAAGCCTCCTCACTGGCACGATTAGTCTCTTTTCCTGAACGAGCCTGCACAGTCTCTGGACCGGCGTCAGCTTCACTTGCGTGCCGTTGATCTGAGTCCTCATCATCTGTGCTGGCTCCGCCACCCTTCAGGAGCCCATCGGTGATCCCATCCATGGCATCCACGGTGACGGGCGACGTGTATCTGGTTTGCAGATTCGGTTGTCTTGAGCCAAAATGGCTACGGAGTATACCTACCCCTCTGAAAAATATGAAAGTCAGTTGGGATCATATTATTCCCAATATATGGAAAAATAAAAAAATGTTCCAAACCACCAATCAGTCAAAATATCCAAGTAATGGGAATCCTTGGCAATCTAGGCAAATGGCAATGGAAAATCACTCAAAATTGAAATGGAATAATCTAAGTAATGGAAACCTAAGGAAATGGCAATGGAAAATCATCCCTATCAACAGTCGTAAATGATCTCCGAATATATCTCTTTCGCGGATTTTCTGATACCAAAAATACGACTTCGGAAGGGTGGGTAAACCCGCTACACCCCATGGAGCTTCCAATAGTGAGGAGTGTTCACATGTTTGTGTCACATTCGAACCTACCCCGCTTGTTCATGCTTGTTCCAGTACAAGGAAGGTTCGCCAAGACATCTTTCGAAATAAATCCCAGATCAACTTACGATCCATCCTTGTTATAGGGGGTTAATATGGTTCTATCAAGTTATATCATGAAACATCCCACTTCAGAGATAAACTAGTGATGCTATCCATTTGTCTTCATTTGATTTTGCTCAGTTGGATCATCCCGAGAATATCACAGCTGGAACCCCTGCCACAGGGTCGCTCCCTGGCCACCCAAGATACAGTACAACTAGTGCAAAATTTAAAATGGCTAGATAAAGAAATAAGCTCTCTAACTTCCCCCTCAAAAAAAGGCGACCATCTACCCATAATCCCTTCCTCCAATGTTCAACCCCCCTACAAACACATATCTATTGGGACGATTTAACGAATGGGAGTGTTTCATATTAATTGAGGGGATGGGGTTAGTAGCTTGGCGCAACCCCCAGCCACCTTCCAACTGATTCAGCTCACCTTAGAAGTGTTCGCGGCATTCCCAAAATGCATCACGTCAATCCCCAATGGTAAACTAACATAGCTATGGAAAATGGCCCATTTATAGATGGTTTACCTATTAAAAATAGCGATGTTCTATAGCTATGTTAGTTCACCAGAGGGTAATCGTCAATCAAACATCATTTAATCTCATTCATCCGTGACCATCCCATCTTTTTGCTGATTTAAAAAAACATATTTCATGGTGACACATCAACCAATATCAGTTTTCATATAGCTTATCAATGATTATCTCCATCTTTTTGCTGATTTAAGCTGATCTAAAAAAAATGATCTAAAAAAAAAACAAATATTTGGTGACACCCCCAAGCAATCATCAACAGCCATGGCGAGCAACTAATCGGCTGGTCTTGTGGAGATTCATCAGACCTTGTGGCGTGGCGAGTCGCGCGTTGGCTCCGCTGGTTTTTTTTCCGGGGCCCTGGTCAGTCAACACCCAGGTAAATTGGGGAAAATATGTTGCGTCATATATATATATATATATACTACTTATATATATATATACTACTCATATATATATACTACTTATATATATATATACTACTTATATATATATACTACTTATATATATACTACTTATATATATATACTACTTATATATACTACTTATATATATACTACTTATATATATATATACTACTTATATATATATACTACTTATATATATATATACTACTTATATATATATATATATACTACTTATATATATATATTTATATACTACTTATATATATATACTACTTATATATATATACTACTTATATGAATATACTTCTTGATAATTTCACAAAAACAACCAATCATCCAAAACACCAGGGGGGATTGCTCGTGCTGGCCAATTGAAAGAAAAAAGAAACTTATCAGCTGAGGAATGGCCATGGCGCAGATGATCAAGGCGTTGATGACTGGATGAAAAATCAGCGCAACTGGGATCATTGGAAAATAGATGAAAATAGTAAAACTACCCACAACTGTGGTTGCCTAGCTTATTAAGGGTACAATGTGGGGCCCCCCAGTGATGTCAGTTGGTTTATAAACCCCATGAATACTATAGTTATAAGTACAATAAACCATAGTTATTGGAGTTATGTTCACCAACTTAGCTATCGTTTGGCGGCCCCACATTGTAGGGATACATAACCTCTTGTCAAACACACTCTCGGTTTAAATACAGAACCCGCAAATCCCATGGTTTAAAACCTCGTACTTTTCGCATTGGATGCTCAGGTGGTGCCCCGTTGTAAGTTTGCTCATAAAACCATCTCATAAAAAAGTACCCTAAACCTTAGTCAACATGGTTGTAAACCAACTTAACCAAGGGGAACAAACCATTTTGAGGTTCCATACTGTGGATGGAAGAAATCCTGCACCCTGCACCACCTTGGATGGTTGAAACCCTATAAATAGTGGGATAAACCACCTATCAGCTGGTGCAGGATTTCTTCCATCCACCGTATCAAACAGCTTCGGTTTCTCCCAAAAAACAGTACCGCTTGGATACGGAGCGCCTGAAGTTCGGTACTCGGGCAACAAATACCTCGGACGATTTAGTTGGCGCGGTTTTCATGGGATATGCACCACGCATTGCGTGGTGCCCCAAGAACCATAGGTAAATAATGGGCATATAATGGATATACAACCAACAATCATATATGATTCTATATGATTCCTATAAATGTTTTTGCTAAGTTTGTTGCAAATAACATGGTTAAATACGGTCTGTGGTGACTCTGACTATCTGAGCTAGATCACATCATAAACCTACTTAGAAGTGGGGACACCACCTTGTGGCTATTTCAGCAGAAAAAATATAGGGATCTCATCCATGTTGCTGGGGATTCAGACAATAGGAACTGTGACTATTGAGACTTATAATTCCTCTTCGTGGGGTTAGTTTTTGAAGTCAATTGAATGGGATGAAACCAATTAAGGAATTTCTGTACTGAGGTTACTCACGACTCACCACCAACGATTTCCTGGGAAACCCCTCCAAGTAGCTGACATCTTCGGAGGTGAAGAGTTAGAAAAATTCGATTGATTGGCTTGACAGAGGTAGGGGTCCCAAAAATTAAAATCCAGGGACTCACAGATTGAATGGCCACATCTGCATGTGCAGCTTCATTGGGGACGTGAACATCACCTCATCCCACTCCACCAATGCCGTAGTCTGATGAAATCTAGAGACCCTCAGGATGGTTTATTATCGGGGACCAGTCAGTGCAACCCCGCTGCAGCTATTGACGGTTAAAAAACGGTTTAACCAGTGTTATAGGGGCTGTGTCAGTTCCCATATCCCATGGTTCTACCATGGTTCTACCCATAAAAACAACCCCACCTGAACCATAAAAAAATCCCGTATCCCGTCCCATTATACTGGTTAGTTAGTACATCTTCCCATTGTGGGTAATAATCCTGAATAATGTTGGAAAAACAATAGTAAACCCTTCCCAAATTTAGCATTTTTTGGGGTGGGATCAAAACCATCAACATAGGGCTGGCTTATTGTTACTTTAGTCAACATCAAACCACTTAGTGTAGCCATCCCATTATTCCCATTATACTGGTTGGTCAGTACATCTTCCTATTATGGCTTATAATGATCCCTCAGAAACTATAAATCATATATAATATATAGTATAATTGCCATATACAGTATAAATTATATACTATAATGAACAGTTATAGCCAAATGTAGTATTTATATAGTATACTTAACCAATCAACAGAGGTTTCTTTCATGGCTCACCACTGCGCCCGAGCCAGCTTGGGCAGCCCTACTCTTCTCCGCTGGCAATGGTCCAGCGAAGTTTTTCCAGCGTCACTGTCAGCTCACCTACCTGAGGTTAGGGTAGACCGATAAGGATATTAATGGTGATTTATATATATATATGTATAATGGATATTTGATGGGATTTTAGTGGGATATGAATGGGATATGAATGGAATAACGGTTAACTACTGCTGGTTGATAAGGGTTTATTGGATTATTAAGGGGGATATGATGGGAAATTATAACCAACAAGGCGTTTTAAATGATGTGGCTACCCCTCAGTCACAGCTGGGAAATCCACCCAAAATGGAGGAACTGCCAGCAAAACCATGTTGGATTTACCATCTGGTTATGACTCACATAGCCATGGAAAATCACCATTTTTAATAGGTAAACCCAGGTAAACCATCTATTTCTATGAGCCATTTTCCATGGCTATGTTAAATAACCAGACGGTAGGTTAAGTTAGGTTTGGTTGATGGAAAGATCTGTTGATCAGTGAATATGTGTAGATACCATGATTTTGAAAGCTTGGCAATTAGAAGAGCATAGGCCATAGTTGGGAATGTGTATATACATGCATGTATAGACAAAGATATGGAGAAAGAGAGAGAGAGAGAGATGGGGAAAAATATAAATAAATAAAATGCTGACGTGGCAACTAGAAATGCATAGGCATATATTGTTCAAGCTTGGCAGGGCAACTAGAAATGCACATGCCATGTGTATATGTTAAAAGTATATAATCGTATGTAACATAATTGCAATAGCAATGGCGATAACAAGAACAATAACAACAATGAGAAAGATACTGATATAAGAAAAATAAGAATATCAGTATCTTTCGTAATATACAAAACTAAACAACTATACTCTGATATTGATACTGATGTTGATCAACAAAACTCAACAACTCACTTCACTCAACCTCCATCACTAGGAATCCCAAGCATTTTCTACCTGCCAAGCTTCCATTGCATCGATCACTGTCTTCCCGCTGTCGCGGCAGGCAACGGTGCAGATGGTTTCCATGTTGTTGAGCACGAAGTTCCTTAAAAAAAGCATCTCAGGACCGGCAGCTCGATCTACATGTATATGTCTACTGCACATATATATATATATATACACGCCCATATTTATTTTTGCATATATATATATATATGTATAATACATGTATGCATATTATTCAGAGAAAAAAAACGCGACATCCTCCAATTTTTCTATTTGACTGCGTTCCTTGCCCCAAAATGTTCCAGGTTTTTACTATGTGGTGCCTCCTAGTTATAAGTTGGTTTATAAACCCCTCCAACCATAGTGAATTGATCCCGATCCCCATAAAGCCAATCATTAGCCTAGTTAGTTCAACCAGCTTACCCATCAAATAAATCGACTATATCAAATGTAAACCACCGTTTTTTTCTGGCAGAAATTTGCGCTAAATCCCATTAAAATCCCAATGATTAGCTTAAATCATGTGAAATCCTGTGGCTGTTGGTTAAATCATCTTCAATCCCTTTATCTGGCCGGTAAGAATCCCATGAAATCCCATTGCATTTCATGAAATCCCATTCAATTCCCAGTAATATATAGTAATATCCCATGAAACGTCTATGAAATATCCATAACATTCACCATTGCCATGAAATTCCCATCAATTCCCAGCATTAAAGTGCCATTCAAAGCCAGCGTGGCAGAACTTTGACCCCAGCCACTGCAGGGTCCGCAGCAAAAAGCGCCGCTGGGCAAAGGAGGACTTCTGCCACTCCGCCTGCGCCAGGCGCGCCTTTTGGACCATGGCTGTGACCTCAACGGAGACCAGGACATGGTGAAAGGACCAGGGACTAATAGATATGGTGTGTGTAACATATAGTTGGTGTAACATTTATGTTATGAATCAATATATTCAATACATAATCATGTATATTATATTGTGAATGTGTCTTTATTTTATTGATAACATATGGGTCCATTCACAATCTGACTTACATGTATAATTAAGCATGTTGTAACATGATGTCAAAGTAATGTTTGTAAAGACTAAAGATTGGTTTCTTTCATTTACAACTGCTTGGTGCATGTCAAAAATCAGATCTACCAAGAAAGTGATTCCACAAAATTATCATGATGTTACTGGTGCATGTCGAAAATCACATCTATGGCGATTCTATATCCCATTTACAGACAGCTTGGTATATCACATACCCTCTGGTAAACTAACATAACTATGGAAAATCACCATTTTTAATGGGAAAATCCACTATAAATGACCATTTTCAATAGTTTTTTGTATGTTTACCAGAGGGTATCACATAACTGGAGGTTCTCGGAGGTTATTCCATGTTGAGCCATCCCAAGTTCAAGCTTGCATATTGCCATATGATTTCCCTAGGTTCAAATTTCCCTTTGTGGGGTCGCCCATCAGTTCCATTCCGTATAACCGTCGCCGTCTCCAACCCATCGAGGTGACCTCCGCCTCGCCACAGGCAGGTACTTCACCCAAGAAGTCCAAGGTGGCGGGGTCCCAACCTCGTTGCTGATGAGCTCAGCCCGGATACCAAAAGAATCGATCATATGTCTGGCTGGTGGTTTTTCATCCATTAATGGTGGTGAATCTCCATTTATAGTGATTATCAAAGGAAGTTGGGAAGCAATACTTCCGTGTTACGGACAAATAGAATTCTGCGACTTGAAATGATGCAGGGTGGTAGATCACATAACAATACATAACATAACAATACATAACAAAAGAATAAGAAGCAGTGGAATTGACTTTGATGAAGGGTGGTGATAATGACGGGTGGTGACGAAGGGAAGTGGTGACGAAGGGAAGTGGTGACGATGGGAAGTGGTGACGAAGGGAAGTGGTGACGAAGGGAAGTGGTGACGATGGGAAGTGGTGACGAAGGGAAGTGATGATGAAGGGGAATGGTGAGGAAGGGAGGTGGGGACAATGGGAAGTGGTGAGGAAGGGAAGTGGTGACGAAGGGAAGTGGACGAAGGGAGGTGGTGACGATGGGAAGTGGTGACGATGGGAAGCGGTGAGGAAGGGAAGTGGTGAGTTGGGGAGGAAGCCGGAGCATGAAACCTTGCGTTTTTCCGTGTAAAGTGGCTGCAGCCGGCGATGAAAGGTACCTCGTGTGTGCGGCGGTTGCGGCTGCGGTCGTTTGGTTCCTTCTATGTGTTTTGCAACATTGATGGTTCCTGTGTGTGTAGTTCTATGCGTTTCTTGAATCTCTGGTTGCAGATTGCATTGTAATGGCTGCATGAATGTTGCATGGGCTATGTTTTGGGGAGGAAGCCGGAGCACGAAACCTTGTGTTTTTCCGTGTAAAGTGGCTGCAGGCGACGATGAAAGGTACCTCGTGTGTGCGACGGGTGCGGCTGGGGTCGTTTCATGCGCGAATTGTTCCTCCTATGTGTTTTGCAACGAGTGGTTGTTCCTGTGTGCGTAGTTCTATGCGGTTCTTGAAGCTGTGGTTGCAGATCGCATTGGAATGGCTGCATGAATGTTGCATGGGCTATGTTTTGGGGAGGAAGCCGGAGCACGAAACCTTGTGTTTTTCCGTGTAAAGTGGCTGCAGGCGACGATGAAAGGTACCTCGTGTGTGCGACGGGTGCGGCTGGGGGCGTTTCATGCGCGAATTGTTCCTCCTATGTGTTTTGCAACGAGTGGTTGTTCCTGTGTGCGTAGTTCTATGCGGTTCTTGAATCTCTGGTTGCATGATCGCATTGGAATGGCTGCATGAATGTTGCATGGGTTGTGTTTTGGGGAGGAAGCCGGAGCACGAAACCTTGTGTTTTTCCGTGTAAAGTGGCTGCAGCCGGCGAAGAAAGGTACCTCGTCTGTGCGGCGGGTGCGGCTGGGGTCGTTCCATGCGCGAATTGTTCCTCCTATGTTTTGCAACGAGTGGTTGTTCCTGTGTGCGTAGTTCTATGCGGTTCTTGAATCTCTGGTTGCATGATCGCATTGGAATGGCTGCATGAATGTTGCATGGGATATGTTTTGGGGAGGAAGCCGGAGCACGAAACCTTGTGTTTTTCCGTGTAAAGTGGCTGCAGCCGGCGATGAAAGGTACCTCGTCTGTGCGGCGGGTGCGGCTGGGGTCGTTTCATGCGCGAATTGTTCCTCCTATGTGTTTTTCAACGAGTGGTTGTTCCTGTGTGCGTAGTTCTATGCGGGTCTTGAATCTATGTGGCTATGATCGCATTGAATGGCTGCATGAATGTTGCATGGGCTAAGGTTTTGGGGAGGAAGCGGAGCACGAAACCTTGTGTTTTTCCGTGTTAGTGTTTTTGTAAAGTGGCTGCAGCCGGCGATGAAAGGTCCCTCGTCTGTGCGGCGGGTGCGGCTGGGGTCGTTTCTGTCGCGAATTGTTCCTCCTATGTGTTTTGCAACGAGTGGTTGTTCCCGTGTGCGTAGTTCTATGCGGTTCTTGAAGCTGTGGTTGCAGATCGCATTGGAATGGCTGCATGAATGTTGCATGGGTTATGTTTTGGGGAGGAAGCCGGAGCACGAAACCTTGTGTTTTTCCGTGTAAAGTGGCTGCAGCCGGCGAAGAAAGGTACCTCGTCTGTGCGGCGGGTGCGGCTGGGGTCGTTTCATGCGCGAATTGTTCCTCCTATGTGTTTTGCAACGAGTGGTTGTTCTTGTGTGCGTAGTTCTATGCGGTTCTTGAAGCTGTGGTTGCAGATCGCATTGGAATGGCTGCATGAATGTTGCATGGGTTATGCTTTGGGGAGGAAGCACGCGAGAAAGAAAAAAAAGGTAACGCGTACCCGCGACACATGGCCCTCTGTTCCCCCCTCTACCCGCCTACAAGGTCGGCAACCCCCCCCTCGGGGGGGGAAGTAGGAAAGGCCCTAGCAAGCCACACCCGCCGCATTCCCGTCCCCCCGGTTACGATACCCCCACCCCCCACAACAGCTCCTTGGGGGGCTGCAGCGGCGAAGAAGGAAGAAAGGTAACTCGTCTGTGCGGCGGGGGGTGCGGCTGGGGTCGTGTTCATGAGCGAATTGTTTCCTCCTATGTGTTTGCAACGAGTGGTTGTTCCCCCTGTTTTGTGTTTGGTGTGCGTTAGTTCGATGCGGGTTCTTTGAATCTCTGGTTGCATGATCGCATTGGAATGGCTGCATGACTGTTGCATGGGTTATGTTTTGGGGAGGAAGCCGGAGCACGAAACCTTGTGTTTTTCCGTGTAAAGTGGCTGCAGCCGGCGATGAAAGGTATACCTCGTCTGTGCGGCGGGTGCGGCTGGGGTCGTTTCATGCGCGAATTGTTCCTCCTATGTGTTTTGCAACGAGTGGTTGTTCCGGTGTGCGTAGTTCTATGCGGTTCTTGAATCTCTGGTTGCATGATCGCATTGGAATGGCTGCATGAATGTTGCATGGGCTATGTTTTGGGGAGGAAGCCGGAGCAGGAAACCTTGTGTTTTTGCGTGTAAAGTGGCTGCAGCCGGCGAAGAAAGGTACCTCGTCTGTGCGGCGGGTGCGGCTGGGGTCGTTTCATGCGCGAATTGTTCCTCCTATGTGTTTTGCAACGAGTGGTTGTTCCTGTGTGCGTAGTTCTATGCGGTTCTTGAAGCTGTGGTTGCAGATCGCATTGGAATGGCTGCATGAATGTTGCATGGGCTATGTTTTGGGGAGGAAGCCGGAGCACGAAACCTTGTGTTTTTCCGTGTAAAGTGGCTGCAGCCGGCGATGAAAGGTACCTCGTCTGTGCGGCGGGTGCGGCTGGGGTCGTTTCATGCGCGAATTGTTCCTCCTATGTGTTTTGCAACGAGTGGTTGTTCCTGTGTGCGTAGTTCTATGCGGTTCTTGGAGCTGTGGTTGCAGATCGCATTGGAATGGCTGCATGATTGTTGTCATTTGGTGTTGCCACGTGCGTAGATAGGTGTAGGTTTGCCACGGGATGCTGCGAAACGCATTGTAGTGGCTGCGTCAAGGTTGCTCGGTGCTACGGCTGCATGCGTAATACTATTGTCTTTTGCAGCTGAAGATCGTAAATCGTATTGGAATGGCTGCATCAAGGCTGCGAAAGTGAATTGTCAGCAGATTTTCTCAATTTTGGCGCTAATAATTTTCCTTTTAAAATTCCTTTTAAAAAGTGCTTCAAAATCGTCTTTTTGTCGCTTTGGCGTCGAGATCCGGTTTTGGAGCTGCAATTTCCGACACCGTTGCGGGCAGTTCTTTTGTGTTTTCCAACTCAGTCTCTGCAGATCGCATTGTAGTGGGTGCGTCAAGGTTGCTCAGTGCTGCGGCTGCATGCGTAATACTATTGTCTTTTGCAGCTGAAGATCGTAAATCGTATTGGAATGGCTGCATCAAGGCTGCGAAAGTGAATTGTCAGCAGATTTTCTCAATTTTGGCGCTAATAATTTTCCTTTTAAAATTCCTTTTAAAAAGTGCTTCAAAATCGTCTTTTTGTCGCTTTGGCGTCGAGATCCGGTTTTGGAGCTGCAATTTCCGACGCCTTTGTGTAAGCTTTGTAGTACAAAGTAGTATTGGGACGTGCTTTGTTTGTGCAAGCTTCGTAGTACAAAGTAGTACTGGGAAGTGCTTTGTGCAAGCTTTGTAGTACATAGTAGTACTGGGAAGTAGTTTCTGCAAGCTCTGTAGTACAAAGTGGTACTGGGAAGTGCTTTGTGCAAGCTTTGTAGTACAAAGTAGTACTTGGAAGTAGTTTGTGCAAGCTTTGTAGTTCCTGGAACGTGTTTTGTGCAAGCTGCGTAGTACAAAGTAGTACTGGGAAGTGGTTTTTGCAAGCTTTTGTAGTAGATACACTACTGGGAATTACTTGAAATGAAAGTAGCCAAGAAGAATTTAGCTGACATACCTGGGTTTGCATTCCGAAAGTGTAAACGCTTGCTGTGTGTAAGTGTTCTGTGTGTAAACGCTTGCTGTGTTTGAAAGCTTGCTGTGTGAAAAAGATTTTGTGTGTAAAAGCTTGCTGTGTGTAAAAGCCTCTCTGTGTGTAAAAGCGTCTCTGTGCAAAAGTTTCTGTGTGTAAACGCTTGCCATGTGTAAAAGCACTGTGTGTAAGTGTTCTGTGTGTAAACGCTTGCTGTGTGCGAAAGCTTCTCTGTGAAGAAGCTTGTTGTGTGTAAAAGCTTCTGTGTGTAAAAGCTTCTCTGCTTGAAAAGCTTGCTGTGTGTAAAAGCTTCTCTGCGAAAGAACTTGATGTGTGTAGAAGCTTTGTAGTACAAAGTAGTACTGGAACGTGTTTTGTGCAAGCTTTGTAATACAAAGTAGTACTGGGAAGTAGTTTGTGCAAGCTTTGTAGTACAAAGTAGTACTGGGGAGTGCTCTGTGCAAGCTTTGTAGTGCAAAGTAGTACTGGGAAGTAGTTTGTGCAAGCTTTGTAGTACAAAGTAGTACTGGGAAGTAGTTTGTGCAAGCTTTGTAGTACAAAGTAGTACTGGGGAGTGTTTTGTGCAAGCTATGTAGTACAAAGAAGTACTGGGAAGTGGTTTTTGCAAGCTTTTGTATTAGAAATCAGTACTGGGAAGTACTTGACATAAAAATAGCCAAGAAGAACTTAGCTGACATATGGGAAGGCATGGGATGAGATGAGAAGAGCTCAGATGAGATGAGTTGAGACGAAGTGCAAGTGTGAAGTGTGGAGTGTGGGGTGTGAAGGGTGCAATGTGAAGTGCGAGGAAAGTGTTTGCATTGTACCGGGGACGCGTGCAGGTCATGTTCTTGGACAACAACATTGCAACAGCTTCGCACAAAGCACGCACGCACAGGCCTGGCTGGCGCACTGCGCATGCAAGTTCCTTTCTAGTAGTATTGGGAAGTCATTCATGAAAGCTTAGATGACATATGAGAAGAGATGAGATGAGAAGAGCTGAGCTGGGATAAGGTGCGAAGAGCTCAGATGAGATGAAGTGTGGGGTGTGAAGAGTGCAGTGTGAAGTGTTAAGTGTGAAGTTTGGAGTGTGAAGGAAGCAGTGAGAAGTGAGAAGTGTGAAGTGTGGACTGTGAAGTGTGAAGTTTGGAGTGCGAAGAGTGCAGTGTGAAGTGTGAAGTGTGGAGTGTGAAGTGTGAAGTGTGAAGTGTGAAGTGTGGAGTCTTAAGAGTACAGTGTGAAGTGAAGTGTTGACTGCGAAGGGTGCAGTGTGAAGAGTGCAGTGTGAAGGGTGGAGTGTGAAGTGTGCAGTGTGGAGTGTGAAGACTGCAGTGAGAAGTGCGAAGTGCGAAGTGGAGCTTCAAATGTGACATGTGAAACAAGACACCACTTTCGCAGAGTGCACGCACGCACGGGCTTGGCTGGCGCACGGCGCATGCAAGTTCTATAGATGAGAAAGGTCTTATATATATCTTTAAGGCAACTTCCGCCCCGCCTCGTGCGGGTACTACTGGTAAAAATTATATATGATTATATATCTGGTTGGTGGTGCAATGTGCCCATCTTGAAAAATGATGGAGTGAAAGTCAATGGGAAGGATGACAACCCATATATGAAATGGAAAACATACCAAAAACGATGGAAAGATCCACCATGTTCAATGGGTAACTCCACTATTTCTATGGCCATTTTCTATGTCGCAAACTGTAACAAATTACCAGAAGGTATGATGGCAACGCAGAAAATCCCACGCACAATGCAGGAAAACTATTGAGATTTCTATAAAACATTGTAAATAATGGGGTTGTAACGGGATAAACCATCTACAAACTGGTGCAGGATTTCTTCCATCCACAGTATAATGAACTGGGAACCCCAATTGAACCAAGAAAAATTTGTAAAATGTTGATTTAATATGGTTTAACCACCACAAATCATGGAAAAAAGGGATTGAACCAACAATAATGAGAATTAATGCAATTGAATGGGATGGGCTGAGCCAATGGAATCGGATATAATGGTAATACAATGTAGTAATGGGTTGTGAATGGAAACAGAATGTGGTATTTTGCTAGCCCAGCCCATCCTCATGGACGTAATGGGAATTTGGCTGGAATGGGATATGAATCGAGTATCAATTAAATGGTAATAATTCCATCCACTTACTATGAAACAGCCTCTACTTGGAGGTACAGTTCCAGTGAACTAAGTGGTTATATAACCATAGTTACCGTAGTTGTAGGGCTTATACCCCGGCTTATGCGCAGCTTATGTGGCTTGTTACTATCATGTAAAATATCCAACTGATAATCGCAGGCCTGCACCCCGAAGTAATTCAGTAATCTCCAAGTGGGGCCTTGCAACAAGCTAAGGCAAGATGCAAATTTGCCCAGTGAATTCCATGGTTCATGGTTAGATATCTTGCTAAAATCTAGCCTATGACCCAACTTAGAACTGGAGGGGGCCATGTGAAATAAGGATAAGGCCCTTTGGGGATAATTCCCCGAATATAAACATCATTCCAGTTTCGTCGGGACGTGAGATCATAGTTTATTCATATGTGTGACCCTGACATGAATAAATCTGTTGCTGAACCAGGTTTTTGGGGCGTTTATCATTGTGATTTTGGGCCAGATTGTTTTTTTGTCCAGAAAGTGATGAAAATGATTGATACCTCACTCCAATATTGTTTCTTTCTCAGTGCTCCTTTATTTCCGATACATTTTGAAGTTGCTATGATGCTACTTCAGTAAAAATTAATGATCCTATTCGTTGTTTTTGGAGTTTTGTAAGCGTAAGAAGGTCATCATTGTGCAAATTCAAATCGTCCTAGTCAACTAACTCATCTAGATTATACAGTGCCATTTGCAACCAGAATTTTCAGTCATCGGGGGACCCCCTTAATGATGATCGATCAGTCTGTTTTAGAATGAAGGATTCATCATGTCATATCCTATCAATTCCTGTTACCATCTGGTTATGACTCACATAGCCATGGAAAGATCCACCATTTTTAAGTTCGGTAAACCATCTATTTCGATTAGGGCCATCTAAAAACCATGGCAAACTGTTAGTCATAACCAGAGGCTATAGGTGTCCATGTGCCTATGTTTGTCCTATGGATGATAAGACTCCAAGAGCGCGCAGATGCGCTTCGACTCCAATTCCACCGTATTTTGAGGTGTTCGAATGTTGGTTGAAAGGAAAGTCAATGGGAATTCCAGGATCCTAAAATGGAGGTACGTTAGTACCATATAAGGCCATATTTTCTGAGGATATTCCCTTACATTGGCCTTATATAGGCCTTATATATAGTAGGTACCTCCATTTTAGGATCCTGAAATGGCCATTGAGAAAGCATCGAATTTTGAAACAAAAAATGCGCCTCGGCACTCGGAAAATCGTCCAAGCAATGTCCCAGGAAAAATTTGGCAAAATTCCAAGTAGCAGGGTATGGACTTTTTGGGCCATGTGGCCCATTCCTGGCAGTGGGTGGTGGTGCAATGCGAGTCCCCAAGTGATGTCATCTGCAACTTAACTGGTACACCATCCCATTAAACGTCCCATGCCGATGATTCTCCGGGTTCGATATTCACAGGGCTATTGATTGAGAAAAATCGTATGATTTTTGCATCGCGTTGGGCTTGGTTTGTGTTCTACCCATGAAATTCTCAATAATTGGGATCACCCAAGGAATGGCCTTGTGAAGTGAATGCTATGAAACCCCTTAGGTTTCCTCACGAAACCTGGGAAATGGACTGTTGGGGAAATGGTTTGTTGTTTTCTTACACCTTAGGTTCTCCTCCTTCCAGGTCCCCTTAGGTTTTCTTACAAATGGTTTGTTGTTGGACTGCCAAAATCCACAATTTGGAATTGGGGGTTCCATCTTGAAGTGAGGAGACATGGATCCCATCATGGGTGCCCTTGCACTGGCGTATGATTAAAAAAACATGGAAACATGTTGCCATGCATCTGTCGGTTTACCAAGCCAAATGCTTCATGTGTGGTTGCACTATGAATATGTATGTACATATATATATATATATTTATGGCATATCATTGATTGGATGATTTTCCCATGAAAAATTGTGATGTTCCATAGTTGTTTGTATGTTTACCAGAGGGTAAACCATATGTCCCCATATTATACCATTTCCACTATTTCCTCATATCAAAATGAAACCATATATTACCCACCAATAGTAAATATCAATGATATCCATATAATGTTACCAGCCATTTACCAGCCATTTCCCCATATTATACCATATATTATCATATTATTTCTGGATATACAATATATTTCCATATATTATACCCTCTGGCTATTGAACATAGCCATGGAAAGATCCACCATTTTTAAGTTCGGTAAACCATCTATTTCGATTAGGGCCATCTATACCATTGCAAACTGTTAGTCATAACCAGAGGGTACATATATATATATATAATTATATATATATGTGTATATATAGAGATATATAGATATAAATATATATATACTCACCAAATCTAACCAATGGCTGGTATACGTCCATCGTATTCCGTGGCGGCGCCTTCTGGAAGTCGAACTTCCTGGTGGCTTCACTTTTCCCACGCTGACTCTCCAAAGGCTGCGTCTCCAGCTGCACTGAGCCACAACCACCATAGCCTGGCGGCGAAACAGTGAAAAATGAGGAGTTCACTGGAAAAAAAGGGGAGTTCATCAGGAAAAATAGCAACTGATTAGCAACTTTGAGCGGCAAAAACCAGATGTTACCAGGAAAAATATGGAGTTTTGAGCGGAAAAAAAATCATTAATTGACAAGCAAAAATGTGGGATTAAGCAATCAAAGAGGGATAGAATTGATATAAAACCAGATAAGATGAAGGGTTTAGCCGGCAAAGAATGGGATTTGAAGTAGTCAAAAGCACCCGTTCACAGGGGGAAAGATGCGATTTTGGTCAGAAAACACGAGGCATTTAAGCAGCAAGACGTGATTTTGCCATAAAAAGTGTGGATGTTTGTTTGCCGTTGGGGTCTTACCAGAAATCTTGATCTTGCCATCAAACATATGGATTCTACAAGAAAAATGAGGAGTTGACCAATCAGACGTGTGGATAATGATGTATTGATAGGTACTTTTTTTCCTCGACTCCGAGCAACAGAAGCTGCGCGATTCTTTGGAGGTCACTCAAAAGATCAATCGAAGTTTCAAGGCTGGGATTTGGAAATCGGCAGGATTCCTTTTGTAGGATATGGCGATATATACATAGGATATATATCGATATATACATACATATATCTTATATACATATTATATATATATATACATATATATATATATATGATGGGCGTTTGAACTACTAGAAATGGGGAAAGGTCCGTCCGCTGTGCCTGTGTTGACATCATTTATGGAGATAGAATGGTTGTAATATCTTTCAAATTGCATCAAATTGGACACTTTTTTTTCAGTAAAAGCACCCATGAAATTGTTGGACGACAGATTTCCGCCTGCCAAATGATCCAAGATTGGATGCTTCGTCCAGGACCACAGAAATCGTCCAAGTAGTACGAGGACCAGCAGCCTCACCAAGTCGCCGGCGATTGCCAAGCCGGGGGCCATGGTCCGTCAAATATGGCCATGCCTCTGGGAAAATGGGAAAATGGCAATGATGCTGGCAAATCATGGAATCTTGGGTTGTCTGAAAAATATGGTGGAAATGTTCAACAACGCCATGGCGAAAATAGGTAGATCATCTGGCAACATTGGCGATTTCCCATGGCGATTTCCCAGTGGATTCCCAGCGGATGATGATCTCTTTGGAGTGAAGATCTCCATAGATCCACCAAGGGTGATCAAACATTGCAATGGACAACCTACCCCATTAGATGATTTTCCCTTGACATAAAACCTATTTGCTGCCATGTTTGTTTATCACCAGAGGGTATTTTTTGGTAATAGTATAGAAGTGGTGTCCATGATATTCCTCTTGAATCCAGTATAGATCTAGGAATAGTGGTTTCCTCTGCTATAGTAATAGTATAGAAGTGGTTTCTATAGAATCTAGTACCCTCTGGTTATGACTAACATAGCCATGGGAAATGGCCCTAATCGAAATAGATGGTTTACCTATTAATAGCATGGTGGATCTTTCCACTTCGCTATGTTAGTCATAACCAGGCCGGGTAATCTTTTTAGGAACAGCTTCGCCGTTGACCAATTTTTTGGCTGCCCTTTCAAGTGCCAATTTTTCCACTGGTAAATTATCATGGTCCCATATCATCCCCATTACCCTCTGGTAAACTTACAAAAAGCTATTGAAAATGGCCATAGAAAGTTCGTTGATTTGCCAATTACAAATGATGATTTTCCCATCAGTTTTTTGTAAACGTTTACCAGAGGGTAAAGCCATTTGGGGCCATACCCATCCATACCCATCCATTTCAGACACCTGCTCCAAATTCGAAACCCTGTCTCCAAGCCCAATCTTTGTACCATCTTGAATTTCATGGGGTCCAACATCTCAAAACAGCCAGAAATAATGGTGCCATTCACCACTCCAAGTGGCTGTAACCCTGTCAAACCAAAGATTTGCAGGCTCACTGCCTGGAATGCTGGAAGGAGAGTTTGGGCTACGCCAGTGAGAATAATGCGCTGTATAGGGGTGCCAATAAAAATATCTACAGTACGAAAAACACTAAAAGGCTCGATGTTGCGGGTTTTCTTTGACACTTTCACCTTGCTCCCCTGGGTCGGGATATGGGGCCGATGTTGGTGAAACGTATCCAATTACAAGTGGAACTGCACTTCCAAGTTTGATTTCCTGATCTGGCTGTAGAAAATTGACTATCCCCAAATCCAATGAATAGACTATCATGATTTCTCTCATGAAAATGACCATCAAATGGATATCACCATGTTTTTACCAGCACCGAGATATTTTGAGCGTCAGAAATGGTGCAGATGTTGGGACGGACCCAAAGGTTGCTCTGGATCTATGCACAAAGTCCTGAGGTTTGTGTGTTGGCATTTAGAAAAAAAATCGTGGTGAACACATTTTTTTACACCTCACCCCCAAAAAAAAAGTCGCGTGTGTTTAAATATGTTGAATAAAAGGGAAACTCACGGAAGTATGTACTGACCGAAAAAAAGTCGAGACTTGTGAGCCATGATCTCATCCAGTGGTACGAGTAGAGTCCTGTCACTGCCAAACCCCGAACCCACCTCCAGCAAGTTTAAGGTGCGAAACAACACCATGGCGCAGGGCAAGAATTGCCAAAAATTCGGATGACTTGTAGATTTTGCCAGTAATTTGTTGGTGGAAAATCATTGCGCAAGTCCCATGATATACTTGCCCCAAACAAATGACACGTGGTTGCGACGGACACCATTTTGACATATTTTGACCATGTTTTAACATATCTGACCGTCACCTAGCAAAAGATCACCGTGAAACTGCAAAATTTCCGTCTCTGACAATCCAAAATCGACTCTTTGATATTCTGCAGATTCCCTGGTGACTGGGGTGACTGGTCGTGTCCAAGTGGTTCGAAAGGGCTGCAGGGATGGAAGCAGTGACCATTTTTGGGATGAAGCATGGGCAGCATGGGGTTGGAGGGAAAACTGGAAACCATGGAGCCACGGATGCCACTCCCTGGTTATTTATATAACAATATTTGACATAGCCATGGTATAGATGGCCCTAATCGAAATAGATTGTTTACCGTTCTCAAAAATGGGGATTTTCCATGGCAAACTGGCAATGCCATAACCAGATGTTACCACGAAATTCGGACTTTTCCGAAAGGTTGGCTTTTGTGTTCACCAAATATCTGATCGGCGCAAAAGCCAACCAATTCCGAGATGGGGTACGAGCTAAGTGGGGCCTCCAACATACCATGGGAAACCATGGGAAAAACCATGGGAAATCCTCAAAATTTCATGATCTGCGAATGGCGGAATTGGGAACTAACATTTTGCGAACTTGAAGATAGCCATAGAAATAATTGATTTACCCAGCTATATAAATAGGTAATAGTATTATTTGGTTAATTATCCATCAATAGGGTTACAATAAGTACCCTCTGGTAATTTAACATAGCTATTGAAAATTGCCATAGAAATAATTGATTTACCCATTAAAAATGGTGATCTTCCATAGTTTTTTGTATGTTTACCAGAGGGTATATTGGCTGGGCTGACTATGATAATTGTCCCCTTCCAATCATGATTTATCCAGGCTTCAGGCATGGCATTGGAAGGGCCTAGCTTTTTTATCCACCAGAAATTGGCCTCGTTGGCCAAGTATGCCCAAGTTATAACCAACTTGCTTATCTAAGGCTCTAAGGGGGGGGGTCTTTCCTGTATGGTTTGAAATACTTGACCCAAAAAAAATGGATCGTATCCTTTGGATTGGATCCTTGGGTAAATTTACATCATAACCATTTTGTATACCCTCTGGTAATTTAACATAGCTATAGAAAATCACAATTGTTAATGGGAAAATCCACTATAAATGACAATTTTCAATAGCTATGTTAGTTTACCAGAGGGTAGATAAATCATAATACGTCATCGCATTGGGTCCATTTTCCATAGCGATGTGAAGCTAACATTCCATTGGTTCCATTGATCCACTGCTGTTTTTTCCCATCCCGCTTCCGGTCATCTCCAGATTGATCTGATTAGGTTTAATTGAGCGGATATAGTTAACACCATATATAAAATATGACACACATAACTATATGTATATATATGACATAATCCATCGAATACTAACCATATATAATATAAATATAACATAAACCGTACATAACCATGGCTTCAGCGCCTGCCTCTCCGCCCATCGGCACGTGGAGTCTTGCCCACATTTGCGCTGCTGGGACGCCTGGAGAAAGTTGTTGATGGACGGTGATGGTCGGTGTTGATCAAGAAACAAATTGGATAAGCCACAAAAAATACTGGGTTGAAATATCAATCAATTATAGATGTATGATATATATATATATATGTATATACTGTATATGTACTCTGTATATGATATGAGTTGAATGGTAAAATGATTTAAAATGTACTGTACCAATAAAACACGTGGACAACGTCCACAAAAAATGGCCGGTCAACACCCAAAAAAAATCCCTGCCTCGCCGGCTTGGGTATAGCGGTCGTGCGCGGCACCGGCATCGCGTCACCTGGTACATGTGGAAATTCACCAACCGAAACAGATGGTGCTATAGAAATGGCACCATGGTTACCCTCTGGTAAACTAACATAGCTATTGAAAATGGCCATTTATACTGGATTTTCCCATTAAAAATGGTGATTTTCCATAGCTATGTTAAATTACCAGAGGATATCAATGGTTAATATGGATTCAATGTCAATATATAATGCAGATGAGTGAGATTTAATATGATGTTACTGAGATATAAATTTGGGATAATGATATTGTGGGATTTTACTGGGATATATTATATGTAACAAGCTTTCAGAAGGCTATATTAAATGGGATTTTTTGTTGTGGGATATGATGGGGATATATCATGATATATCGGCAACAATATGATGTGTGTGCCATGGTCAAGTTACGCGGGATTCCATCGGTAAAACTGGTCCAAAAATGGTCATCCACCCCAGAAGGGGATGCCCATTGGACTATCGTGACTATCCCCCATTGGAGGGCAGGGAAAAGCCCAAGAAACGAAATGATCATAGCACATATG